TGACAACTTCTATCTTCAAATCTGACTTGACTGGTGTTCACAAAAAAAAAAAAAAAAAACACCACGTTGTTCCTTTGGTGCTTTGTGAGGTTGTTGCTTGTGGTGGGATTAAAGTCAGCCGTGAAGGAGCAGGAAGTCCCGGTTTAAAGGTTGCATATTAAAATCCATTCATAATTATGATGTCTGCTGCATTAGTGGTTCAGTGCACAACAATGTTCCTCAGGAAAGACCTCAACATGGCATCTACTTAAAATACTAAGATGATGTCATGCATGCAGGATTGTAGCCGGCTTGATTTGATAATATCACTGCTGCCATAAAATAAAGTACGGACTTGGATCCTTCATTTAAAGGTACAGTATGTAGAATTGTATTAGAATTTTACACTAAAATATCTGAGTTAATTAAAAAATGGACTAAATCTATGTTATATATTGTTTCTTGAGCACTTACATTACCTCAAATGTTTCCAACAATCATAAAAGCCAGAGAAATCAGTTATTTTAGAGTTGTAATGGGCGGTGTCTTGTAGCGGCGGGCGCCATCACATCGTAATTTTAATTCAAGAATAAAAATTTGGCTGATGTGGCAAAAACAAATTATTTCCTAAACTTTGTTTAAGACAGGGAGAGACCGAGACAAGACCAAGACCAAGACCAAGACCAAGACCAAGACCAAGACCAAGACCAAGACCAAGACCAAGACAGGGAGAGACCAAGACAAGACCAAGACAGGGAGAGACCGAGAAAAGACCAAGACAGGGAGAGACCAAGACCAAGACCAAGACCAAGACCAAGACCAAGACCAAGACCAAGACCAAGACCAAGACAGGGAGAGACCAAGACCAAGACCAAGACCAAGACCAAGACCAAGACCAAGACAGGGAGAGACCAAGACCAAGACCAAGACCAAGACCAAGACCAAGACCAAGACCAAGACCAAGACCAAGACAGGGAGAGACCAAGACAGGGAGAGACCAAGGCAAGACCAAGACCGAGACAAGACCAAGACCAAGACCAAGACCAAGACCAAGACCAAGACCAAGACAAGACAAGACCAAGACCAAGACCAAGACAGGGAGAGACCAAGACAAGACCAAGACCGAGACAAGACCAAGACCAAGACAAGACCAAGACCAAGACCAAGACCAAGACCAAGACCAAGACAGGGAGAGACCAAGACAAGACCAAGACCGAGACAAGACCAAGACCAAGACCAAGACCAAGACCAAGACCAAGACCAAGACTAAGACTAAGACTAAGACCAAGACCAAGACCAAGACCAAGGCAGGGAGAGACCAAGACAAGACCAAGACCAAGACCAAGACCAAGACCAAGACTAAGACTAAGACTAAGACCAAGACCAAGACCAAGACAGGGAGAGACCAAGACAAGACCAAGACAAGACCAAGACCAAGACCAAGACCAAGACCAAGACCAAGACCAAGACAGGGAGAGACCAAGACAAGACCAAGACCAAGACCAAGACCAAGACCAAGACCAAGACAGGGAGAGACCAAGACAAGACCAAGACCAAGACCAAGACCAAGACCAAGACTAAGACTAAGACTAAGACCAAGACCAAGACCAAGACAGGGCAAAAGTGAAAAGTGATCTTGAGTCCCAGACTGATTTGGAGTACGACGAGCTTCATCTCCTTTTCTTTAGTTTGCATCATCATCCAGCTGAAAGTGCATCCTGTAGTTTGTGTAACAAAGGAGGATGGTGACAGGCTGGAGAGCCCTTGACCCTTGACCCCACGTGTGGGCTGACTGAACGACGTCTGAAACAAACCACAGTGATATCTCTCTTTAGATTTCTACTCAGCATATCGGACACAAACCAGGTTTCAGAAAGGCGACTGTGAGAACTAGAGTCAATGTATCAAGGACGTCGTCTGAATTTGCAGGACGCAGGACAAGCGATGAAAACGCCGTTCAGTCCTGCACAAAGCGGGTTAAGTTTAGTGAACACCTCATGGAGAAGGTTAAAATGATAACTCAACAAGTACTCGTTCCTCTGTGTCCTGGGTGAATGCATCGTCCTTTACCTCCTAACAAAACAAACAGTGGACTTAAACTATGTTCACAGGAGATTTAACATCTCAACTCATAGAGGATTAGTGTTTGTACGAGCAGTGAAGGAGTCTGTGTGCCGTGGGGTCATATGGGCGAAAAGATGCTAACTACTAACTGCTAAGAGCAACAAAAAAAGAAGCTGGCTGCAAAATGATAAGCTGAACGATGCCAAAAGCAGTTCAGGGAAACCTCAGACCTGCTTTACATATTTCCACTTGATCCCTTCGGTTATAAAATCATTTCCTCTGAATCGGGTTGTCAGTTTTCACACCTTGTCCTCTAATCACAGTCGCACTCTGAAGAACGACAACCGAGTTCTGAGAAGACACGCGCGGAGAAGGAGTCGACCCTGCCGTGTGCTCCTGACAGGAAACGAGGCTCTCTGTTCTTACAGCATGTTGACAAAAATATCCGGTCTCTGATTGGTCCGTAGTGAGGTGGTCTGCTCAGGGTGGTGCCCCATCTTGCCTTCATTACAACCATCACAAGCTTATCAGAGCCGAACCCTTTCCAGGAAACACAACACGTTAAAAGCTTTCTGAGATTTCTCAGAGCTGCACCTAGTAAACACAGCTCTGTGTGTGTGTGTGTGTGTGAGTGTGTGTGTGTGTGTGTGTGTGTGTGTGTGTGTGCTGCACGTCTGACTCACATTGCGTGTGCTGCTTCTATTTGTGTGTGTGTCCTGCCCGCTGCACACTTAGCTGCGTGACAGTGGATCGATGCAGCGTCCATGTTATTCTCCTCTCAGCGGGCTCATTAGCCGAGCTGCTTACATTCAGTCCTTGTCAACTGAAATCCATCAATCGCTTTTGCATCTTTTATCAAACCATCATCACACCGGGCGCCACGGCCAAAACCGCAGGATGCAAACACATATCATCATTCCACACGTTTTTTGTCGGTTATGTAACAATGTATTTTTGGAAGCAGTGGTTGATACAGGGGCGGTTCAAAGTCACCTAGAGGACACTGCTACAAATCTCTCAAAACTTACAGGCTAGAAAATCAGAATCACAATCCTTCCTTCAGAACAAACAGAGGGAAGGGCATCACAAACCTGAGGATTACTGCTGTTGTTTTTATTTGTCTCTCCATCAGGCACTTAAATTTCTGGTTTGTATCTGACTGTAATCCACAGATTTGTCTATTTATCTACGTTCACCTCTTTTACCTGGGACATCCAGAGTCACATGACTTCTCCCTCATAGTTTCAGGTCCTTGTTTTAACTACAGGCTCTGATTCAACAAGAAGTCGGGATCTAATTAAGAGTACAAAGTTCAGCTATAGTTGGCCGTAGCTTGGCTTACAGCCCCAAAAGAGGCACCAAAGATCATCTGAAAGGCAGCTTTTTAACATGATGGTGCTTTATTCAGTTTTTTTAGTCATCAGTTCTTAAGATTCAGTGGGGGCTTTTCATGCAACTATTTTAGAGACAGGACAGGAGACAGAGTCAGAAGCCAGGGGGAGAATGACATGCGGGAAAGGAGCCACAGGCCAGACTCAAACCCGTGCCGCCCACCCTCAAGGACCACAGAATACCGCTGTCCCTTTAATCACCCGTTCTGATTGGGTTATTACCCTCTTCTCAGAGTAAACACCTGGTGAGCATACTGAAGCTGCACACCTGGAAACAAGCTGGCAGCAGCTCGGCTCGTAGCCCCCTCCTGATGTCCTTTTTAAGCAAAAACATTTTATTCAGTGTCCTAATCCAGTTTTGATGACATGATCTGTTTGATTTAGAGAGAAGGATACCTCTGTGGAAAGTCTTCACCTTAAAAATCTTGTGCACGACGAACACTGGAGGATCATCTTTAGATTCAGTTTAAGATGCCTTGCTCAAGGGCGCCTCAGCAGTGCTCAGGAGGTCAACTGACCGGGACTTGAGCCAGCGACCCTCCAGAGTCGGTAAGGTTCATCTTTTGGGAACCATGAAAATAATCTCTTCAATCGTTATGTTGAAAACCAACGCTGCTCTGACCTTTAAACCCGTCACATACTTAATAAAACTTCAACCCAACAACACTCAGGGATCTAACCGCGGATCCATAAGGATCGGGTTCTGCATTTTTTAAAACCACAAATCAATAATCTTTGAGTTACAACTGTCCTTCTGCTATTGAGTCTTCTGGGTCCTGTTACGTAACTTAAGTCCAGACACGTCTTTCACATCCAATCAGCGGTGCACAAACACATCGATTGTCTGATAAGGTTTTTCAATACAATTGAAAATGTCAGCAAACAAGCTCATCAGCATCGTTAATCAAATCAAAACAAAGTGCGGCAACCTTCGACTGTCGGGTTAAAGCAACTCCATCGCCTCAGGCTGCTGCTGCGGGGGAGTCATCCTCCTGCTTCAAAGCAGCCGAAGTGAGATCACACAAACTTTAACTTAGTTAAGAATATAAAATATAAAAAAGATACAAGTTCTGTTAAAGGAGCAGTATGTAACTCTGACACCTAGTGGTTAAAATGGGTACTGCAGTCTAAATAGGTCGGGTACAATCACTTCTATCTGAACCACTTCTCTTGCCCGCTTCCATCGCTGCAACACCTGTTGACCTGATAACTGCTCTCATATCTGACAAACCGAGGGGTGTCCAAAACGGCCGTGTGAGTGTGTCTATAAACCGCCTACCTTCTCTGGTCCAAACAAATCCAGAGCATTCAGGAGCAGAATCTAAAGTTAGAAGGAGGACATACTGGCTGCTGCATTGTTGTCAGAGAAGCCAGCACTTCAACATAGCATGTTTCCTTAATGTCTGATCAGATAGTAAAGTCACTTAATCATTTAATTCAGTAGATAACTTACAGATTGCTCCTATAAAATCATATTGTTGTCTCATCTTAAGAATATAAACCTGAAGACAGTGGTATTCATAACCCCACACCCCACGTTCTCTTCGTATCACGTTCATAACTCACCTGTCTCTGGTTCTCCGTCTCGAGTCGCAGCCGAGCCTCGATGCAGCGCCGCGTCTCCAGGAAGGCCTGACGCTGAGCCCGGTCTGACAGGTAACTGATGAATATCCCGGCAGTGTTCATACACATGAACAGAACAGCCTGAGCAGCGACCTGAAACACAGACAGAGAGACAGAGAGGGTGAGATCACACGGAGAGATCCTGACTCAGACTCTCTTAAAGTCGATTTATTCACAAGTGGAGAAATCACAGAAATCACTGAGCTCAAGATGAAATGTCAGACCTGTCAGCCTATACCACCTGAGGCGCTCTACATACTGCAGCGCTCAACTTCAAAGGCACATCAACAGCATCCAGATATGATACAAGAAATGGAGCGAGGTCGTCATGATTTGAATCGAGTGTGAATCACACTGCAACAACTCAAATCATACCAACTGTGTTTCATATCTGTCAACGCAGCAAGCAGACCTGTCTTGTCTTGAAATGTAAATAAAGACGTCTCATTTCAAAACACTTGACACATTCATTGTGCTAGCTGTATTTTCAGATTCAGGCCGTCCTGCTTATCTCTACATAGTCATTGCACACTGTGTTCTGTCAGTTTTGCTCCATCCGACGATGTGTGCTCTGCACCGATGGATCCCTTTCTGAAGCGTCAAACGAAGCCATGAGCAGCTGTAAACACGAGATCACAGGAGAACGACAAGATCAGGCTGGACTAAAGAGAAAAACGTGCAGACAACATGTCTTTCTGTGGTTGACAGAAGAGTGACCTACCAACGAGATTCCATGTCTTTGTGAAACTTTGGGATTTGTCCATTTTCAAGAGTCCAAAAACGAGAGATCACAACGTGCAACAATCAGACCTGCATAAGAGTGTGTCAAGATGACATTAAATATTAAAAACTGGAACGCCAGCGATAAGCTACCTACAGCCACGAGAAGTCGATGAGCCGAGACACGCTCTGAAAAGAGACGAGAACATCTGAAACCTGAGGAGAGCAAAAAGCCAAAGACAAAAGAATAAAGCAGGTCAGTGAAGCAGTGACTGCATGCTTAAACTGTACGGCTCCTCTTTGACTCGTTTGAACGTTTGACTGCTCGCTGGTTCGCCTGCTGGACGCTTTGATAACTTTCAGCATGGGAACTATTCAAAGTTACAAAAACTTCAGTTGCAGATTGACAGGTTAGATTCATTCAGGAGTGAATTAATGAGTACGACGGAGGATTAGTGCCATGTTTAAAAAATATAGATTTTTTTTATTTTGAGATTAAATTTGTAAATTTACGAGAATAAAGTTGTTAATTTACGAGATTAAAGTCATTAATTTACGAGATTAAAGTCATTAATTTACGAGATTAAAGTTGTATATTTATGAGTTTAATCTCGTAAATTAACGAGTTCAAGACCAGCCTGCACGAAAATGATGAAAGTAGAACTCTTAAAGTCTTTAAAGAATAAAAGAATAAAGTCGTTAATTTACGAGATTGAAGTTGTATATTTACAAATTTGAGACCAGCCTGCACAAAAATGATAAAATTAGAACTCTTAAAGTCTTTAAAGAATAAAGTCGTAAATTTACGACTTCTTTCTCGTATATTTACGAGTTTAATCTCGAAATTAAAAAAAAAAAAAAATTAACGTGGCCCTAATATTCCGTCGTAAATTAGCCCTTCAAATCTGCAAGGTCGAGTTTTTTTGTTTTTGTTTTCTTGTTTGTGTTTTCCCCTTTTGGTTTGTTTTAGGTTTGGTTGAATATGGAAAATGGTGTCTGTTGATCTTGTACACCACATGTGAAGACCAGTAAATGTAAAAGTATAGGAGCGATGTCATGCAGAGCTAAGACACGTTCACTTTTGGTGTCCCAGTTTTTTTATCTGGATACCATAGCTCCCTCACACAAGGAGGAAAAACAGGCAATCTAGACCAGTAATTCCCAAGGTGGGGGTCGGGATCCCCTGAGAGGGCGTCGCAAGATTCCTTCAAAAAACAAAAAAAATATTTCTCCCATTATTGTGAAAATATATACGGCAGTAGATTACGAGGTTAAGAGCGTTCGATAGGCCTTGTAGAGGGCTGTTCACAACGTTAACTGTTTTGACCACCACCAGGAACGCTGGGGGGTCCCCAGTCTCTCTAACAGCGTTATACTGGGGGGAACCCCTGATCTAGACAACAAGAAGGTTATGATTCTCTGTAGGGATTAAAAAATCTCAAAGCTTTGATAATTTCCCATTTGTGATTAAATGACTTTACAGATCCCAGTAGATCAGGGTCTTAGATCTTTAAAAAAAAGAAAAGAAAAAGGGAATCGAGGGAAAAGCTCTGTAACATCTCAACAGAACACATCAGTGACTGAGGGGAGAGAAAAAAAATATGGCCTTCATTTTTCTTTGAAAGACGACTTCATGAAGTCTGAAGGTTTTCATCAGCCGCCATTCAGCAAAGTGAAGAGCAGTCCGGCCCGTTAAACCATCACAGAGCAGAGCTGATGATGCAACGCTCTGCAACGCGACTGTCCTGCTCAGCCGCACCCGAGATTTCACCAACACCACCATCACCACCACCCCCACCTTCAGCGCTCGGCCAGCTCCTCCTGCCTCATACAGCTTTACATGATGCAAGTTTCCAAACAGGTTGGCTGAGAGTTCAACACATCACTCTGAGGAAAACCACACACACACATACAGAGTGTGTGTGTGTGTGTGTGTGTGTGTGTGTGTGTGTGTGTGTGTGTGTGTGTGTGTGTCTGAGGGGAGTAATTAAAGGCACAGACGAGTCTGCACAGGTCCCGAGCATCTGCTACTATCACCAGTGTCTCTATTAAAAAAGTCCCCATGGAGTCCTTTATAGTCCTTTAAAAAAGACACAAAAAGCAGACTGTGCTGCTCCTGCAGGCGGCTGATAAGGTTGTCGATCGATAAGTCCCGATTATCCACCCAGGTGAGAACTTTTAAAGCCTTTCTGACCTTTACGAGCCAAGCCGAATCACCAGCAACAACACAACTCAGAAAACAAAGCATCAGCTGAGAAGATGAGAGCCTGTAAATATGTTCTTTTATCACCTTCATCTTTTTGGTTTTGTCCTGAGGTTTATTGCCCATCCAAATGATTTGGTGTCTGATTAAAAAAAAGAACATCTGAAAGCGACACCCAGCAGCTCGCTTCTGAACCCGATCCTCATAACTCCACCAACATACAATGTTCAAACATGAGTCAGAGATGCAAAGTGAAAATAAACTTCCTGGGACAGCCTCTCTCGTTTGGTCAGATCGTCTGTCTAAAATGTGTTCACTCCTAATGTGAACCACAGACTGTATGAAACGTGGACGTAGTCTCAGCAACGTCACCTGTTGTTTTTGAAGAGGCATTATCAAGTTGGCGGTGGCTGTTTTGGAAATGTCGTTTCAGCCGAACTCTAGGTCGACCTAGTACCACACAAAGAGGCGGAGCCTTAAGCCTCGTGGCTAACAGCTACATTGCACCTACCAGATCTGGGTATCCAACCTGGGGTCCGGGTCCCCCTAGAGGTAGCAACATTCTTCTGACTTATTGATCTCTTTAAACCTTCATGATCATAACACTGATTACAATAAAACATCTGGATGCAGTTTTATAGTCTGTAATATTTTGAAAGCAGAAGTCTAAATCACAGACTATAAATTAATGTTTGAAGCCTGAGTGACGTCCCCCGTCTGTTCCTGCAGGGGGCGCTGGAGTCCCATCGATGGCGGTCTCCATGCTGGAAATGCTGTCTCTGTCTAACTTTCAGTCAACCTAACGACAGGCTGAGAGCTGGAGCTGAGGCGGGTTTTAAACCTCCTGACAAACCGTTACACCGCGCCCACCTGTCAATCAGGTCAGCTACACGCCTTATTGTGAATAACTCTTATCCTTCATCAAATCAAAACTGATGAGTCATCAAAACATTCACCCCCCGTACAGAGTGTGTCCATCGAGACATGAGCTAATCACACCTATTTGTTTTTTTGAACCAGGCTGTAAACATGTTCATCTCTGCTGTAAAAACAGGCTTTTTAAAATGGGTGTGTATGTGACTTCCTGTGCTTCTGCAGCCAGCCTCTAGTGGACACTCGAGGAACAGTAGGATTTTACACTTCAGCATCGGCTTCACTTTTCAACACTTTCTTGCCACATTTTTAGGTAGCTTCAAAACTCAATAAAAAACTGATTTGATACATTTAATGCAAAATGTACATAAAATGTTTATTATTCCAGATTTTAATATGAAGATATTTTCCAGTTTCTCACACGAGGCTCCATGAACTCATCAATTAAAATAAATCTGTGAATTGTAAAAACCCTAAATGTGTAGTAAGACGCTTCTTCTCCAGTTCCTTACTGAGTTAATGTCTGGGTCACACTAAAGTGATGGTGATTTGATACGTTTGAGCCTGTTTCATCGCTCTCCCTCTGCTCTCTCGGTTTTCCCTGTTCGGGGAGCAGAGAGTGTTACTCTGCCGACACTCAAGGTAAAATTGTGTCAGCGCAGATAAAAACCCACAGACAGACAGTTCAGTGTCCTCTTTACTGAGAATACAGCTCTGAAGTGCTCTGCTCCTGTTTTCCGCTGCAGAAAAAAATGCTGCACTACGAGCGAGTTAGGAGAGAGAGAGGGGGGAGAATGGATCGTGAAGAGGGGGTTCCTGACTTCTGGGGCTCTCAGCAGCATGATGTGAGATGTGGAGGGCGACCTGACACTTTTAAAAAGGAGCTTTCCTCGACTGACTGTCGGCTTCTTACTGCTCTGGTTGTGTGTGTTTGTTAGTCCTGGGCACGAAGGCAGCAGCACAGCGAACAAAGTCTAACACTGAGCAGCCATACATACAGACTTATACGATAATATATGAATAAATTAAAAGACATGAAGTCTGTGTGTGGACAAAGAAGACCAACCAATACATGCATCCACAGTAACAAATTGCTCCAGTGGCCATGAAACGAGATTAAATGGGGTACAAGGTCACCTCTGAGGGTTACAAGGTCACCTCTGAGGGCTACAAGGTCACCTCTGAGGGCTGCCAGGTCACCTTTGAGGGCTACAAGGTCACCTCTGAGGGTTACAAGGTCACCTCTGAGGGTTACAAGGTCACCTCTGAGGGCTACAAGGTCATAGAGTACAGGAGT